AAAAAAAAAAAAAAAAAAAAAAAAAAAAGTAGTGGTAAGATACATTTCTAAAATTGTATTCATATATTTTCAAATCAAACTATTATATAACCATTGTATGCCAAAATTATATTTGTATAAATACTTACATAAGTATAATTCATATCTATTAAAATATGTTAAAATCACTATTATATAACACATATTCTATCTATTGTACTATCTTACACATATTCTATTATTGTACACATATTCTATATTATAAAAAATATATATACTTAAATTACAAACACTAATTAATTACAACCATTTCGCACAACATGCTCATACGTGGTATCATTATTTAAATATACCACGTATGACTTAAGAGGGAAGGTGTTACGTCCGACGTAACTTCTCTTCAGTTCGACCGAGTGCACCTTCTGTTACCACCAGGAATGCAATAAATGCCCTGGGTGGTCAAAGAACAATGGACTGATAATAAGGTGTCAAAATTTCACTATTGATTATTACTCACATGTCGTGAGAAGCATCTTTCCCCTTCTACTAAAAGGTGGTGAGAACTCACGCGGGGGAATCTCGCCACCTGCCTATAAAAACGGATGCGACTGCCCACACACCTCCAGAGACAAGAAATCAGACTTGAGACAAGAAATCAGACTAGAGACAAGGAATCAGTCAATCAATCAGACAATCAATCGGTCAGTTTATAATTAATTAATTAAACTTATAAAATACAAATAATATACATAACAATTGGATCACAAAGATAAAACATTAAAAATCGTAAATAAGTTATTGGATAGATAAAGGTTTGTTTTCCTAACATATCCCTTGACCTAAGCGTCACGTTACACTTTACTCATATTCCCAAACCTTCACCAACCTCTTAAGTCCGATCCTAAGCTCTTCAGTCTCTCTGTAACTACAGTACGAGAAGGACTTCAAAATAATTTAAAATTTCTTAAAAGAAAGAATCAATACAACCAGAATCAGTAAGTAAAATAATTATTTTGTACACACACATACGTTTACACATTTACTCACTCACAATCACACGAACTTGTGCATCCCAGGGTAAAGTGGTTAAATCCATTGACCCAAAAAGGACAATTAACACGTTTTAAAAAAAAAAAAACAACTAAGACGTGACACAGATTTCTGCTCACGGATACGCGACAGGAATCACTCCGCCGTCGGTGCACGAATACGTGCCACCGACACTGTTTAAACCAGATCACTCCTGGCAGATTTCCGTTTGCGGATACGCGACAGGAGTTACTCCGCCGTTGGTTCACGAATACGTGATACCGACACTGTTCTGACTACCATTTCTGATGGATTGCCGTTCGCGAATACGCGACAGGAATCACTCCGCCGTCGGCTCACGGATTCGTGACGCCGACACTGATCTACCGTTATCCGCAAGATTCCACGGCCACCAAAGGGCCGGAATTAACCCACCGGAATAATTGCACCGGAAGGGCGTTTAACGCAACCTTCACACTGCTAACCGGATCTCGCCTTCGCCTTAACACGAGCGAGGTCGCAGCGTGCGAACTCATCACCGTATATTCGCTCCGTTGCAGCGCAGCTTCGATACCGCGTCCTAAGGATCCGCGTATCACACCGTCGTCGACTCGCCAGGACGCGAGTCGGCCTCCGCAGTACTAGAAACAGATCTCCGAAAACGAGATCGGAATCATTCCGTTACCGCGACACCGCATCTACCGCATCCGCGATTTCGCGAGAACGAGCCAGCCTTGTTAGATTACTGAGGCAGCTCTGCCAGCTAAGGTTCCGCGTACAAAGGTGAATCGCCGCAACAGCATACGCTGACACGCACCGAATCTCCGCGATAATAGAGGAATCATATCCAAGGTACCGCCACCGAGGCGATACATCGAACGCAGCTCCGCTGCGATACTGCATACATATCGCCTATATTGTGCTGCATCGAATAGCAGCGAAATAGCAGAAAGAAATTGTCAACCGGAATTAAAGAGGCGAGAAGCCGAGAACGTCAACAGACGAACTCGCGAATACGCGACAACAACACCGTCCGCGTCCCGCGCACAGCATCTCGCGAGCCATCGCCTAAACAAGGCCTCTGACAGCTTGTATATAAGTCGACGAAAACTAACGGCGTCGACACTCAACATCTGAATTAATGTACATCGTCAGCTGATTTTAAATATACAACTCAGTTTATTGTTAAATCAACTGCTTCTAAATTATTCCGCCTCCTACGAACCCGAACCGGCGAACGTAATCCGGCACGCGATGCGGTTACAATAATAAAAAAAAAACTGGTATCATATTTTGTGGCGCTTCACTTATGTGTTTCTGCGTCCGGTTTCAAACTCGAACTGCGCCGATTACTCAGTCCATTTCCTAATCTTTGTCTTAGTCTTCGTTGCTATTGCTCAATCTTAGTGATCAGACAACTAGCAATGATTCAAATGGTTCTGACGAAATCTTCATAACTTGTGCTTATATATCTTCATGTGCTTACAAAACATTGTAATGCTATATTTACTAACAGATATTGAAAACGAAAACAGTTAATATGCGATAGATATTAATATAATATATATTGACAAAATAGTGACGCGATTATTGTTCTTATATTTTTAACTTAACATTATTGTGCATTTGAGAGTAAACGATAAGTTAGTTTGAAAAATAGATGCAATAATTTATGTATGTATACAGGGTGTCCCAGACCACCCTTATCACACTTTGTGAGGACGTAGAACGGATTGAGTCTATTTTGGCGTCAATTTGGCGCCAAGTTGTGTACGCTGTGACCATTATTCCTCGTGAGATTACGCGACGAGGATGGACAAAACTTCCTCCCCGCGACGCGGCGACGACCGGCCTCATCGACTGCTCACTCGATCGCTATGGTAGAGTGGCGTATTTCTTTACTAGCGAATCTTTGTCTATTACACGAGAAAGGAAAGCAAGAGAGGCGGTTAAGTAACGACTCTTATTAAAAATTCTCATTCAAATTCAAACAGTTAATAATAACATTTATTACGGTCGACGTAGCAATGGCAAAATATGCCACTGATCGAATGGTATTTTTATTGATAAGTAATGGTAACTAATATACCATTGATTGAATGATATTTCTACTGGAGTACATTCAATAGTAAAATATTTTATCACTAATCGAAGGATTTTCCTTCGATTCAAGTAGTAAAATCATTTGTTAATGACAATGTCGTTGGGTCCAAATGATTTTATCATTAGTCCAAATGATTTTATCACTGATCTCAATGGTAATACCATTAATTACTTTTCGCGACGGGGAGAAGGACCCACCGGCTGTTCAGCCTTTCGTTGGCAGAGTGCCGTGGTTTACTCTTAACTTGGCGGAGCACGTGAGGAAGTGGAGGAGCGGATGAGAGAAATATGGGGTGTTTCCGATAATACCTCTCCGAGTCATTTCCCTAGAGCAGAAATAAGTTACAGACATCACCATCTACTACTATTATGTGATTCATGACAACCCAAAGCTACCTAATGCTGTCTCACGACTGCAAGCAGTGGGTTAGGTAGAACAATACCGTAACAAATACACGAGATAATTTTGTAAAATTGTATTATTGATTATAAAATCATCTGGTACTGTTTTCTAATAAAATTTTATTTATTCTTAATTAAAGTTATATAAATATATATAACCATTAAAATATATATTATATTTTTCAAATATTCCTAAAGTAAAAAGTCACACTGTTTTAATCTATTTGCAAGTGTTGTTTTTACATGATGTGCAGGTCCACAATAAATTATGCCATTAGGGTATATTGGTGACAAAACAAGATAGATTTAAAATCTATTTTAATAATGTTAATATAGTTTATTTTAATCAAAACATATAATGCAAGAGCATTTATAAACTTAAAACAATAAAT